AACCCCAAAACCCCAAAACCCCACTTGTAAAATTTAACTTATGTTGAAGAATAGTTTTATCTAAAAATAGAATTATTAAAATTCAACTGTCCAATATATATATATATATTTATATCCCTTTGATTTTAATAAGCACTAAAAAATGTTTAAATAATATAAATAAAAATGCTGGCAAATTAAGGAAAAATTAGAAAAAGTGTAACTTATCTTATTTTCTTTGCTATATAATTGTAAGTAATCTAAATCTATTGGTCTAAACCATTTTAGAACCTCAATCCTTTCAGTTCCCCAATGCTTCAATGAAAGCTAGTTACCAATTGAGATAAAGATGACTAATGATCAATAGTGGTTTTCTTAAATCGCCTATCATCCAAATAATAATTACTTAGCAATCGGCGGTGTCTATGGAGAAGATTTAATGATTGGATTATTTAATAATAAGGAAAAAATGAAGAGACTAATGTGGCTTAATTCTTTTAACTTTGATTGCGCTAGTTCTACTGAATGCTTAAAATTTTTCGATATTGAATCTATAGAATTTCAGCAAGATTCTAGTATCATTTCTTTGATAAGATCTAAAGCTTATAATTAAATATTAGATTTTGATTAAGTTGATCTTACATTAGTAAAGTTTGACTTAGCAGGTAATATCCGAGGTTCAGTTTAATTTAAGTAAATTTTGGTATTTAAATGATTAATGCCAAATATCATGAGTATAAGGGCAGACGGCTTAATCTTTTTGCTATGCGTTGATATTAATGATTTCGGCCGGATATTAATAATAGACAATGATCTTTTAAGTGTTAAGTCTACATAAGCTTTGATTAACTCAAAATCATTTTACTTTACTTCAATAGCTTTTAATCCATTAAACAGCAATGGATATATCTGGGGTCACAACCTAAATAAATAAGTTGGGGCTTACAATATATTATTTGCTTAATTTTCATTAGATAATAATATTCCAATTAACTACATGATTCAATCTACAACAACTAATCAATTGGCAACTTATGATGTCATTATTCCTTTAATAGAAATGGATGGAAGTGTGGTTGCAGGATGTTTAGAGTCTCAGGATTAAACAAAAGCAATCTTTGGAGTAATTATGTATAGTTTTTCCTTAAATTTAGCAAGAGTTTTTTATCGAGATACAAATCTTTAATACAATAGATTCGGATTTATGTGTATGGGAATGGCTTTATTCTCTTAAGGAAATATGTAGGTGTTTTATAGATCAATCAACTCATAAAGTAATGATATTTTTTATACTGCTAGAATTAATAAAGATCCTTTCAAAGTAACTTTTGATGGAAAACTAGTAGAACGTAATTTCAGAATTTAAGGAAATGAACCAGTTATTATTAATAGTTTTAGATTTTTTAATAAGATCGGTGATTACGTACATCTTGGTTATCTTAATAACAACAAAAAAGGAAAAACAAATGCCTATTTTTCATTATTTTCATCGAAAATATATTATAGGATAATCCAGGACAATTTAAATTTAGGGAATAAAGATTATTCCAATATCTTGAGCGATTTTTCTAATTTAACAAGTGTTTATGCGAGCAATGTAGCTTCTAATTAAAGAAGTTTATAAATTTAATCCTAACCAAAATTAATCGTTAAAAACAATCTATTGCCATATGTTGGACTATGGGAAAATCAAAGTATAACTAAAGATAATTTATTGTTATCTTAACTTCCAGTTTTACAGAATATTACTCCAAGTGAAATTCCTAAAGTTTGCTATGCAGGAATCCAGTGTAATTTTTTTAAATCTAACTATACACTTGAAAACTTATGTATTGACCAAAATAATACTATTCGATATAAAATAGAAATCACAGTTGATAATCAAACCTTTGCAAATTTCTTAGGTCAAGTTATTTAAAACTAAAGTGATACTTCAAGCTTCAAATCTGTTAATATTTCATTTAAAATCGATTCTTAATATTCTGGGTCTTATTATTTTAACATTTCATACTTGATCTCAGATGACACAAATGATTGGATTTTGAAGAATAATTACCTCTAATTGAATATATCAAATGATTGCCTCGATAAATTCGGAATTATTTAATAACCATCAACACCTAATATTAGGCTCGAAATTTCAAAATCTCCTTATTATTATTAACTTAATAGATTTCAGCTCTAGCCTTATCTTGGATGCTATAGCCAAAACTTAACGATATAATTTATTGATTTTTCTGGACCGAATGATATTATTTTAAAAGATAAACTAGAGGAGTTTAAAATTGGCATTAATCTAACCAATCCAAACTTTATAGGAAAACATCAATTTCCCTTTTAAGTCGAAATAACTAGTGAAATTAAAAGCTTTAAAGCTCTAAATTTTAGTTATTAATTTAATTTTGAGATTTACAGTAATGCATATAAATTCTACTTGAGTAATAATACTGCACCATACTTTGAATCTTTAATATCTAATGTTGAACTATATGTAGGAGCTAGACATGATATTGATCTACCGCCTATTAAAGATGATTAAGGAGATGATTTTGAAGTTTCAATTTAAACTAAAAAGGGGAAATTGTTCTTAAAAGCGAGTAATAGTAAAATAATCATAGATTCTTTTTAGGCTGTTGTTGGTACTCATTAAGTAATAATTTTAATCACAGATAATAACCTTGATCCTAAATAAAGCTAGTATCCATTAACGATTACTATTAAAGATGATGATTCAAATTCAATAAATGAATAAGTTCTTAAAGGTTCATATCTATTAGATGATTACAAGAATACCTTAAATTTAAAAATAATAGGGCATATTTAGGCTAGAATTTCTAAAATATCTTTATCTGGTTAAGTAACAATTTTCTTTGATCAAAATTTAGTGAAAATCTAAGATTTTAAAAGTAAATTATAGAAGGCGATTGAAATAAACTTAGAAACAATAAATTAAACATAGAAATAAAATTTCTAAGTTGAAACTATAGTAGATAATAAGCTAATTATTCAAGTTAACTTTACTGATTAATATATCATTTCTAAGAGCTCTGTAATTATTAATTCATTTAATCTTTTAGGATTGGGACAGGCTGATTGTTAAATTTAAATTTTACTTTATCTTCTATGAAAAATCAGGAAAATTTATGATGAAGGAAGGATATCAGATTAAAGCAAATATACCTCCATAACTTGCAAGTGGTTTGAAAGAGTAAATTGAAATATTGGGAACGGCTACATCTATTTCATTTTCAAGTATAATGGGATCGAATTTTGTCTTGAATATACTAATGTATTTCTAAGGTTTTATTCATTTTTTAGGTCACAAAGCATCTAAATGCTCTGGGGGATGATTAATAGTTTCTAGTTAATTACACACCTTCCTTTGATTAGTATTAATACCCCTGCAAATATGGCTCTTTTTTACAGCATTATTCTGGATATCTCTAATTTTTAGTTTTTCGATGTTGAGAGACTAAATAAATTTTTATTCAACTATGATCCAGAATTTGATCATAATACTGCTTTTAATCCTTTTTTTGATAGAATGGGATATAATTCAACTAATCTAATTGTAAATCTCGGACTTATATTTTACTTTTACTGTTTACTATTAGCTGCAATGATTGTATCTCTAAATCTTAATTTTCTGTTTGGTAAATCATTAAAGTAACATATTTTTATCACAATATTTTATAGCTTGAAATTAAGGAGAATTGTAAGAAGTTATCATAATTTCGTCTATTTCAACTTTATTATAAGATTTTTCATGGAATCACTTATTGAACTTTTAATATGCTCCTCTATCAATAATCTTAGTGTAATTAATTAGAATTAGAAATAAATATTAGGAAACAAATTCATTCATAGATGCTACTGCATACCTATTGAGTTTCAAATTTCTTTTCATCTGTATTTTATTACCTTTATGGTAATTTCTGGTCACTAAATCTAGTTTATTTGATTATATAAGTTAAAATGGTATTACAAGACCAACGTTGAAATACAAATTAGAAAACTATTATTCACCTTTTATTGAAAAATTAAATGAAAAGTAATACATATTTGGGACAATTAGCATCGTCAGAAGAATCATATACTCCATGACTTTTATATTGTTTGAAAAAAGCTAAGGAATATAAATAATGTTTATGACTATTTTGAACTAGCTAATCATTATCTATATCATTACTAATAAGCCTTATGAAAATTAAGTGTCAAATAAACTTGAAATATTCAATGAGATCATATTCTAGACTATTTTGTATAGCATGATTATATTTTCTGATAATTATGATTTGGAAAACGATCTAAAATTAACAATAGGTTATTTCCCAATAAGTCTATCGCTTTTGTTCCTGATAGTTAATATTTATGTAATCGCCATTAAGAAATTAATAAGTAATTTGATAAAATATTGTAAGAGGAAAATAGTATAAAAGTAATAACTAGTTTTAAAATAAGATTTGAAAACTCTTAAGAAAGGAAAGCTTACAGCTAATATTGATGAGAATAAGCTCAACGATAACTAAGAACTTAATCTAAGTAATAGTCTTTCAAGAAGCATATTGACTGAGCAAAGCTATTAGTATTCTATACCCCACTAAATAGATTAGATTGCTAAAGGAGCTACTTAGAATGACTATGACAATGAAATAGATTTATCATAACAATTTTCCGATAACATTAGAAAATTGCCTATACTTAGACAGAAAATAGAAAGATCTTATCTTTAACCCTCAACTAATAATTATCAGTTTAAAAAATAGTAAGAAAGTAATTGAGTGGTGAAAACAGTAATTGACTAAATCTAATATTTAGAAGACCCTAATAACAAGCTTTATCATCTTTATTCAAAATAAGTTAACCAGGTTCAAACTAGGAAGATAGTAATCCAAAATAACTAGATAATCTCGGAAATAAAAAGTTTAATCTGAACATAATATCAAAGAGACTGATAGCATAGATTCAAGTCTCCTATGAATAAATGATAAAATCTATACACTCAATGAACCGAAAATATGATGATTTTAATGCTTTATCATGAACTATTTATTAAAAGATTATTTCAATTTCTTAATTTTCAGCTTTCATACATCCAGTGGGGTTTTGGGGTTTTGGGG